TTGGCTGGCACTCACATGATTTTATTCAAGGGCTGGGAAAGAACTACGATTAGTTAAAAGCTTCGGCAAAGTCTGGAGGGAGTGCTCTGAAGAGTTGGGAGCCGCGCAGAGGTGACTGTAACTCCTCTCGCAATTTCAGACTATTCTTCTGTGGCTCAGGACAAAAGCCTTTTCTTTTCCCTCCGTGTTCAAAGAGACATTTGTCTTGAGATGTTGCAGCTGTGGGCCGCGGGATTGCTTGTTTGAAGATACCCCCTCGTAGACGAAAGGAGAGGCAACGCACTGAAAAGTGGTAGTATTTTATCGTGTGTGGGTTCCCCCCCCTTCTCCTCCCTCCCTCCTCCTCCACTGCCATGTGTGGTTTTTAATAAGAAGAAGAATGTGGAGGCAACATTTTCCAGGCAAGGGGAAATTTCCTGTTTCTTTTCTGTTTGTTTAATAAAGTGTGTAGTTGACTGTAAAACTGTAGCTACTTTGTTGTGAACGGGTAATTCAGGCGAGTGTCAGGATCGCTTCTTGATGCACTTTTATATATACTGCAAGTGAACATGTTTAAAGCTTTATTCCTTTTTTTTTTTTCTTAATGCTGTGCGGCGTAGGCAACTGAGATTAATAAGAATTAGGCAAATGGCTTCTGCTTTTGTTTCTGTGAGATAGTACCAGCCGTCTTGCGGTCACACAAAGGCTGCCATTTAGCAGGGAGCACTCCCTAATTCTCTTGGCAGGGGTGCCATTGGGATCGGATACAAGTGGGTGGCAAAGGGGAGGAGCGGCAGGAGAGGACAAGCGGGCTTTGTGTATTAAAAATGAAACAAAAGCACTTTATACGCGGGGCTGTGTGCAACAAGCGGCGCTGCCCGTGAGCCGGGGTGGAGTTTGAGTTCTCACTGTGACTGCAAAACCTTTCTTTTTTTTTTCTGTTTGCTTTTTTTTTTTTCCCGTAAACCCTTCCTCCTTTCCCTCTTCCTTCCCAAGCTCTCCCTGCAATGCTGGCAAGGGTCCGCGGGGCAGCTGAAAACGCCTTAAAAAATAATACAGATCGAACAATATTTGCCACAACTTTGCAGGAACGGCTGAGGCTTTATCGGGAAAAATCAGCTTCAGATGGCGGGGGAGCCCCCGAATTGGTGATGCTCGTTGGGAGGGCGAGCTCATCCCACCCCAGCCCCAAGGAGAGCTGCTGGTCCGCTGCCTCCTGCCCGTACCACCGCAGCTTGCTCCGCTGCCTGCAAGCCGTGGGCTCGGTTTCCACAGCATCGTACCCCTCGGTGGAGTGAGCCCGGTGGTTTTGCAACGCGTGGCAGAGCGAAAGGGTTAATGGCTGCGATGTTATATCAGAATTTAGCAGGGGGGAGTGTCTGGCTGTTTAATTACTTTCTGATCCGTGGCATACCTCGTTTTTAATGAAGCGGTCGCAGGCAGAACAAATGGGTTTGGGTAAAAAGAATATCGTACTGAGTTTAGCTTGGTTTTGTCAGCCCAAATGTTTTGGTTTGAGTGTGTTGTGCGGGAGGTGGGAACCAGGACAGTGAAGAATAGACGCAGGGTGGTGGAGAGGCAGCAAGAGAGGCAGGCGAGGAAAATATACCGCCGTTTAAGTTGCAAACCTGCCAATGGTTTTTATTAAAACGTAATTTCCATGCATTATGCACTTCATCTTCTATTGATTTGCTTCAAAACTTTCCTTGTCAGGTTGAAGTAAATTCCCTTATTGAAGTAGGAGAAATGAGAGACATTCCTCTGACTCCCTCACGGTTTCCAGCCAGCATTCATCCTCAGCAACTGCACTTTTGTGTGCGGGAGAGGGTGACATGCCTAAGAAGCCTGTGTCATCATGCACAATTACATCCCTAATCCCAAGCAAAGACACAGATGCTGTTTCAAAAAAAAAAAAAAAAAAAGTTAAAAAAAACCAACCAACACCATGAGGGAAAATAATAATAACCTCAGGCACTGTCCCCGTTATTTTGGGGCTAGGATTAAATGTCAAAGTTTCAGATAACCCGTGGTTTTGTCTTCCGTGTGCCGTGCTTGCAGGAAGCCACCACCAGCCTCCATGTGCCCGCTGCCCTGTCTGAGGATAGTCCTGGTCCCCGCTGGGCACCGAGCTCAGCTTGCCCAGACAGAGGCATACGGCTGCGCGGCGCGGGGATGGTGCTGGTGGCCGCCGGGGCTGGGACCGCCGCAGCCACCTTGCCCCTACATCAGATTCCTTTTTCTTTACAGTTGTGGTGTGAGGCTGATAGGGGATGCTCTAAGCCTTGGAGATCATACACATTTAAGTCAGCATTTAAGTATTTAAGTAAGTGTTATAATTCACTCACTTGTTAACCTGAGAAAATAATCTAGCTGTGCCATAGTGCTTCACATAAGGGTTGTGTAAGCGCTCTGAGATTTGTACATGTTTTTATTCTTGCTTATCTGCTTATGGCAAGCTTCTTTCAGTTATCCCTATCGTCTCGGCACTCTACCCTGCCTACTGACACAGTTGCACTTCCATCTGGATGAAATGCATGCAAACGTAATGTATTACTTCCAGTATGTGCTAATGGAGATCTCAGTAGGAAGGACGGAGAGAAGGACCTGTTCCAAAACATTCACGTGTAATGCTGCAAATCTTCAGTCAGGTCTGCTGGGTTGGTCGGTTCTTCATTTCCTAAAGCAGATTCAATAAAACAGGAACAGAGAGCCACTGCATCCCCTCCGTTAAACCTGCCTGTTTCCATAGGGTTGATTTTTCCCATGCAAAATAAATGTAACTACACGCTATCCCGCTTTTCATACGCAGCAGCGTAGATCCCTCCCCGAGGCGATGCTCTTGGTGCCGGCGTGGTCTGGGAGGCATCACTTTGGCCCGTAGCTCCACACGTGTCAGCTGGTGGAGATCTTGCTCTAATACTTTACCCGGCAGCAATCTGGACAAAAAGGCACATTTAATTTTCCCTTAAAAAAAAAAAAAAAATCAGTGCGTTGCTCTTCTCATTAGGTTTCTTTCCCTCATTGTCATTTTTCTGGCGCGTGGGGCTGCAGTGACATGATTCCTGGTGTTGACTGCAGTGCAGAGGGCTGGAGCGGTACCCAGCCCTGCATGCAAGCGCCAGCCTCCTGCTCTCCTCTTCAGTCTGACTTACTCAAACAGTACCAGAGACAGTAACATTTGTTCTGTAATACTCCATGTGAAACGTTTGACCCCTCAAAATACCCCAAAACAACACCACAGAAGTCTCTTCGGCCATGCCCCGTGTTTGTCCAGCTCACCAGCATCAGCAATTTTGCTGAGCAGTGATACCTGTGATGTAGTGCGGCAGGGGAAGATGCTCTGATCCAGAAGTAGTGACGGCATTTACTGCGGCTCTTAGCCCCTCAATCAAAGGATCGCACAACCGCTGTGCTTAAAGGCAATACAGATGTTGGCTGGTAGCCCTGGAAGGTTCTTGTGCAGAAGCGGGGTTTCGGTAAGGAGAGGGGCTTCTCTGAGGCTGCTTGTGAGGAGGTTTGAAGGTTCAAACCCAAACCCTCCAGGCCTGGCCATCTCATGGTGTGGCAGCAGCAATTAAACACCACTTTGTGCCCAGAACACTCTCTCCCGCCACTTATGCTTTTCCCAGAAACTGCCTGGGTAGTTCAGAAAGATAGCTGAGATATTTTGTGCAACCCTAATGTAGTAAATGCCCTTACTGAGTGGTAAATGGAGGCATAGAAATTTCTAAGTGACTTGCTAGCAGAGCAATAAATAGGATATAAAAATTGGGCTTCTGCAGCCCTTGGTGGTCATCGTTCCTTTCCTCTACTCCGCCTGGAGAACATGTTGTTGTGAAATGAGAAAAAAGCAGCACAACTGAACAGACCTCGGAATACACATATTTTCAAGGGAGCAGCTCATGACGAAGTGTGTGGAAGTGTGGCAAGTGTGGTGTCCTGCACTGGCACAAGGGCACTCGCTGCCACGGTGGAGCGGGGTCTGCAGCCGTTTCATCCCGTATGTGCTGGTCCTTGATGCTGACTACAGCTGCATATCCCAGAGCATCCTGTGGGATGCAGGGATAGACCGGGTTTGGTTTTACAAAGTAAGCTGAGCTTCGCCATTCCCACCTTGAAGCCTTTTGGTAACATAACAATATATGTGTGAATGCTAAAGAGGTCTTTGGTATCCTGCTCCTTCCATGCTTTTCATAGAATCACAGAATAGTTTGGGTCGGAAAGGACCTTGAAAGGCCATCTGATCCAACCCCCCCTGCCACGAGCACGGACGTCTTCAACCAGACCAGGTTGCTCAGAGCCCCGTCCAACCTGACCTTGAATGTTTCCAGAGATGGGGCATTGACCACCTCTCTGGGCAACCTGCGCCAGGGTTTCACCACCTCATTGTAAACCATTTCTTCCTTATACCTAATCTGAATCTACTTTCTTTTAGCTTAAAATCAATCCTTTTTTTTTTTTTTTTTTATTGGATGTCTGTTCAGACTTGTCTTTCTGAGATGGTCAAAATGGTAAAGTCATTCCTTAAAAAAAAAACAGTCGGAGTGCCAGCGTACGCCTGTGGAACAAAATCCGGGCCCTCCTGCAGGCGGGGGAAAAAATTACTGTTGGCTTGGGTTTCACTCCTAAAACGCTAAGTAAAACAGTTGAAGAGGCCGGCAGCTCTGGCTCCGGTGGTTTGCTTGGAACAGGACCTGTGCCGGTGAGGATCGGCACAGCGGAGATACGCCCCCGTGAAGTCACAGGTGGATGAAATTGGGTTGTCCATCCCTGTCTTGGGAGCAAGCCTCGCTGGGTTTTCTCTCCCTGTGGCAAAACCGCAGTCGTACTCCCAGAGAGAAAACCAGATCTTGCGCTAAACTTCGCGTTGCATTGCCATCGTCCCCCAAAATTTGTTGTACAAGCTAAAACCATGTGCCGCTGCCTCTCACCCAACACAGGAACTGCACACAGGTACCACCGCTGCTGGGGGCACCTTTCTGCTGCCGCCGGTGTAAAAGCCACACTCCTTCTGCTTGCAGGTATTCGCCCTCAAATCATGAACGGCCCCATGCACCCCCGGCCCCTGGTGGCACTGCTGGACGGGAGGGACTGTACGGTGGAGATGCCCATTTTGAAGGACTTGGCGACGGTTGCATTTTGTGACGCACAATCAACTCAGGAGATTCATGAGAAGGTAACGTGAGCTGCGAGGGCCCGGGCAGGCCGGGCTGGGGGACGGTGTGCTCTGGCCTTCCCCTTCCAATTCTTCTTGAGCAAAAAGCATACAAAGCTGCACTTCGAGTCGATCAGCGGATAACATCAACAGAAGTCGCTGCAGATTAAAACCCAGTGCGGCTGTTTTAGAAGCCAGATGTTATTTTGGAAAAAAAAAAAAAAAAGTCACCTTATCTCTTAGCATCACAGTTTTTTACATCAATATTACTAACGTTTCTCATTTTTTTTCAAGTCTGCTTGCTCGATGCAGCAGTACCCGCACTGGGCACCTCCCTGGAGTGTGGCGCAGTGGCTCTGCCTTTGCTAACACCATCCTGTGCTGCAGCGGAAGGGTCTCTCGGGTGCTCGCTGCACCTCACCAGCTCGTTTCTCCCCAGCAGTGAGCGGGTGAGGTTTGGGCAGCGTGCAGGCAGATCCTTGCAGTGTGGATGGGTGTTTCTGCTTGGAAGCTCAATGACTTGTAAATACTTGCTCTAAAATTGTTCTTTGTGCACATTTAGATAACTCAAATGAGGTTTGAAGGGATCAGAAATTGACTTCCAGGATCTGGGAAAGAGAACTACAAATTGCATCAGTGCTGATCTTTGCAGTGCTTCAAATATTAAATGCAGGGGGAGGAGGATGGAGTTTTTTATGAGACATTGATAGATGATAGATGAGCCTGTCTCAGAGAATTTGGATAGGTCTTGGGTTTCCAGAGCACTGAGGTAGCTTATAGTAAGCATCAATGAATTTTGAATCTCCATTGAAGGGGATGGAGTACGGCCTTACATGACTGTACAGCCTCACACAAATCTCCTTAGGTGCTCTTGAAAACATACCGGAAAGGTTGATGTGAACAATGTGACAGGTAGTTGTACTTCCAGCATACAAAAGAAGGTCAAGAAATTATGAGTGACACTCAGTTGTGTTCAAAAACAATAGATACTGCTGTAAAACCTAATCCTTTTTAAAAGCAGAATTACTGCTGGTTGGAAGCAGAGGGATTAGCAGATAACCACCTGGAAAAGTGTCCAGGTGAGCGACTGGGTCAGTTTTCCTCTGCCTTTTCTCCCCAGACGTAACATCATAATTTACAGATATCCATCCAGTCTGTTCCCAAAGGGAACGGCCTCAGTGTCAGTGGGTCACACCCCTGATGGTTTTGGTGACACTTGAAAGTGTCAACGTGCACCATGCCTGGGTCAGACAGTCAGCGGTAAAAATTTACTGTGTAATATTCCAGCTTCAGGGGTTGCAGGCATCCCTTCTGGGTGTCCTGGTGGCTTCTGACATCTCTGTTCTTTTCCAGGTATTAAATGAAGCTGTTGGGGCGATGATGTACCACACCATCACGCTGACTCGAGAAGATCTAGAGAAATTCAAGGCCTTACGGGTCATTGTTCGAATAGGCAGTGGCTACGACAACATTGACATCAAAGCTGCGGGGGAGCTTGGTAGGTTTCAACTCTGCACCCCAATTCCCTCCCACATCTCTCTGCATCTTTAAAACCAGCACAAGTACCTGCTGCTTCCCATGGGAGCGTGATGGCAAAGTGGAGTTGCCTCCCCGAAGAGGGAGGGTGGTTCAGCCCCTAAAATTACAGGTGGTTTCCATTTTTTGCACGTAGAGAGTATTATGACAAGAAAACTTGACCATGATGAAAACAACATGGTACAGTTTCAGAAGGCAGATTTTAGGCTCATACTGTGTTAAAACTACCTGATCTGAGTCCCTCATTCCCACACTGTCCCTAGTTCCAGGTGCCCCATTGTACCAGCAGATATTTGTATGGCTGTTCTATTTCTGGCACAGGAGGGTTGTTCTAGCTTTAGAAAAATTGGAGGAAGTGTGTTTTTTTATATTTTAAGCAAGATTAGTCTCTTGATCCTATCTGATTCTCGAAGTCATGCCCACACCACTGGGAAGGTGACGTGTCAGATGGCGGAGCAGGAATTGTGCATTGGATTGTTGCTGTCTCCTTTGCCATCTCATCAAAGGTGCTTCAGGAGCTTGAAAAAGAGATTTACTGGGGGGACGTGTTACATGGGCTGCAAAAATATACATTTCTGAAAATATACATTTTCGGAAAGGAGCCCCTCTGTCCAGCTATGGGATTTTTCTGCCCAGCTGGGCTCAGGGGGTGCATGCAGGCTGCGTTGCATAGCTGTCAGATGGTGCTGGGGCCACCCGATTTCCATACTGGTTTGGATGGTGGCAGAGACCCTTGGCAATCTGCACACCCCCAACTGGGAGAGCTTAATTGTATCTGTGATTTTAGCAGCTGAGTTACAACCGGTTTTTGATCATCTGATCCTAAGATTCAGTCTATCAAGCAGTCCTACAATGGTGTTTAGGATATGTTGTATTAAAAGTTATCTCTGGGGAAGTGAAGAATAACAGCCATTTCACGTGAGCCATTTCACAAGGATAATTGCGATAAGAGAGTTTCAAATAGTCAGTCCTAAAAAAGCAATTCTCAATATAGTGAATTATTTTTTTTCGAGAGGAGAACAGTGTCTTCTCAATGTAATGGTTTCTTCATGTTTTTAACTCTTATTGTTATTATCCATTATAGCAATGTTCTGAGGCTTTGAACATCAAGAAAGGAAAAATATAACGAATAAAATAATGGGATACTGCAGTATAATCCTTCTTTTTATACTTGGCAAATTGGGTGGCCAAATGATGTGGTTTCGAGTAGAAAATGTAATGACTACCCACAAATGTAGCGTAAAGTTTAATTGGTATTGCTTTCCATAAGGTAGTTTTTAAACTGTGCAGTCAATAAATGACCAGTGCCTAAATACGGTGTCTGGCTGCGCACTAGCGGCCGCCTGCACCTTGCTGGCCAGGCTGGGGGGACCAGTTTGGACCCTCTAGAAGACACCCTCAGAACAAGATGCTGGTGTTGAACCATCCGCCGTGGGTATTTAACCCCTGGTGCTGACAGCTCCCGCTCCTGGGGCACAAGGGTAAATAACAAGCCTAAGGAGCTTGTGGGAAAGGCAGCCTGGTGTCATCCAGCTCTGTAAGCGAGAGGTCCATCAGAAACGGGACAAGTGCTGGCAAGGTTGGTGATGGGGACCCTCAGCAGAGTTGCAGGCTGATGGGGAGTGCTGCTGGGGCCGCCCATCGCCCTCCAGCGATGTCTTCTCTTCTCTTCCCCCATGTGCAACCACAGCCTCTGCCTACAAATGGGCAGGAGCAGTTGCCTGATACTTAAACTTACTTAGCTGGTGAGGGGTCTGGAGCACACGTCTTATGAGGAGCGGCTGAGGGAACTGGGGGTGTTCAGCCCGGAGAAAAGGAGGCTGAGGGGAGACCTTATCACTCTCTACAACTACCTGAAAGGAGGGGGTAGCCTCTTCTCGCTAGTGACAAGCGATAGGACAAGAGGAAATGGCCTCAAGTTGCACCAGGGGAGGTTTACACTGGATATTAGGAAAAAGTTCTTCACCAAAAGGGTTGTCAAACATTGGAACAGGCTGCCCAGGGAAGTGGGGGAGGCACCGTCCCTGGAGGGATTTAAAAGACGGGTAGGTGTGGTGCTGAGGGACGTGGTTTAGTGGTGGTTTTGGCAGTGTTCGGTTGATGGTTGGACTTGATGGCCTTCAAAGTCCCTTCCAACCTAGACAATTTTATGATTCTGTGATTCTAAATGTGTGGTCTTCTTGGGAAACCTTCCTCCCCCCTTTGTTAGGCAGGAGGTCAGCGTGGTTTCTGGGCTGCACCCGCATCCCCGAGGTAAATCAGAAGTTCCCTCTGTGGAAGAGATGGGGAATGTCAAACGAGACAGCATCAACTTTAGGAGCTTATGGGGACTAGTGCACCATATCCCTGTCACCTGAAAGGGAGAGAAGGTGGACAGTGGTTTCAGGGGTTGGTTGGTGGTGGGTTTTTTCTCCCAATAGGGTCAGTCAGTTTTCTTCTGGTTTCTGTAGGTCTTCCAAATAGCCACAGAGCGGAAAACAGTTTTAAAAACAGAAAAACAGGTTCCTGGGAGCAGGAAGGTCGGCAGGGGGATGGGAAACAGATTTTCCGTTTTGAACCAAATCACTGCCCCTTACAGTGGAAGGGGATTTTCTGAATATCTTATTCTCTCTTTATCTCCTACTTTTTCATGGTTTCTACTCAAAGGCCCCAGCCCAGTAAAGAATTTAAATACATATCCATCTTCAAATGTGTGCTTAAATCGCATTGAATCCGGTGGGATATAAGCATGTGCTTACCTGCTCTGCTGAAGAGACATGAAATGAAGCACAGCCTTACACGCGTTACTGAGCCGGAGCCCGGACGGGGCAACGACTGGGGAGGCTTTTCCATGAATACTTGCAGCTCCAAGTGTGGACACGGTTTAAAATTAACCTTTTGTGGCAAAGGAACAAAAGGTCTGTTATCGAGACCCACACCAGGGTAGGCAGGAGTGTGTGGCAGTGCTGGTGCCGCGGTAGAATTGCTGCTCCGGCACAACCTTCCCAAATTTGGGGGAAAACTCCACATTTTGTGGCAGGAGCGATCGGTTCCTCCTGCAGGAGTGTGGGCGGGTGTTTGTGGCGGGTGGAGGCTCACCAGGGGGTGTTTTGAGTGGATTGTTTTGGCAATTGGTGGAAGGAGAAGCTGGCCCTGCCACACCAACCCTGTGCACCATCCTGCTCGAGCGCACCAAATTACTGGTCCCTAAATAATGTAATGGTTGAACAGTCTTATTGTGGAAAAGGAGTGACTTCTGCCAGCACGATTTAAGTCGCTTTGAAGGGAGATTAAACTAAACAAGAATAAGCCTTTCTATTGCAAAACAAACCTTTGCTGCTGGAGTTACTCCTGCGTAGTTAGCGCACTTGAAATCTGCACTTGTCCTTACTCCAGAGAGGCGCTGAGGCATAGGGGACTCCAGAGCATTACCCGTCCCAGTGGTTTTTGCAGAGATTTCAGGCTGCTGTACCTAAACCATGCACATCCTTGGAAAATGTTATGCCAAATGCTTACAAAAATGCTGGGCTGGTTGGGCGATGGGAGGGTGAAGGGCCAGGAGCCCCTTTGCATCGCTGTGGGGCATGTGGCCGGGGCTGTCCCCCCTGAGCCACGGTTGTGCTTTGTGGTGTTGCCTCTGCAGGGATCGCCGTCTGCAACATCCCCTCGGCTGCCGTGGAGGAGACGGCCGACTCCACCGTCTGCCATGTCCTCAACCTCTACCGACGAAACACGTGGCTCTACCAGGCGCTGCGGGAAGGCACGCGGGTGCAGAGCGTGGAGCAGATCCGGGAGGTGGCCTCCGGGGCCGCCCGCATCAGGGGGGAGACGCTCGGCCTCATCGGCTTCGGTACGTTGGTGAGGGGCAGGCAGCCTGCGAGCAGTGCCTGGAGCACTGCCGACCCAGCGTTCAGCCTTTGAGGGAGACTCAGCACCACTTCACTGCCCCAGGAAGGACCTAAAATGAGCATTTTCAAAACCAGACCCACCACAGTGGATCAGCGTGAAGTAGGGAGAACATCTTACGCTGATTTTTCTGGGCGAAGGAGGTGAATTTTCTGAACCTTGGCTGAGTGCTTGGAGGAGTGCTGGTGAAACCTGACAGTGCCCCAGGAGGGACCACATCTGGTAGTCTGCTGTCCTCTCCCGAAAAAATCTCATCCCAGAGCCACGGCTACACCAACCCAGCTCTTTCTGAGCCGTTCTGCCCTGTGTGGTGGCAGGGCTGTGTAAAACAAAATTTGGCTTCAGTTCACCCATAGCAATCGAGAGTTTCAGCATCAGAGGCAGCGTCAGTACCACTGCTACTGGCCCTCTTGCCCATCCTTCTTGAGAACAAAGTCCAGCCATCATAAGATGGTTCAAGAGGTGCATCTGGGCGGCAGAGACCCATTCAGCACTTGGTGGCCGGACACATGCAAAGTGGCAGAAACATAAGCGGAGGAGATTTGGCAAGGAGCTGGGTTAGGGAGCAGTTCTGGCTGCTGGAGGGTGGCTGCCAGTGAGGGAGCACCAGCCAGGAACCAGGCACAAATGCCGCAGCAGTATTTCCACTTGCTTTCGGTGCAGCCATCATTTTCCCCACTCGCTTCACACTATTATGAAGCCCTGGGCTAATTAGTGCAAAAAGCTGGTGTATGAACATGTTTAAATGGGGAAACTGAGGCACGGTGGTTACAGCAGATCAGAGTTAGCCCAGGTCCGTCTCTCAGGGGCAGGGTGAGGGCAGCAGCGCCTGCCTGGCTGTGTGCTCACAGCTGGACATCCACGCAGGCACCCAGCTGATGTCCCCTGGTCAACCGTGCAGCTCCACGGCCCCGGGATGGCATCAGGTGTGTACATGCATGGGGGGACATTGCACTGCGCTGCCAAACCAGGGCACTGCACCACTGCTAGCTGGAAAAAATAACAGATAAATAAATAATTGAGGCTTGGAACATGGAGCCTGCACAGCCCTCGTGGCGGGGACGGGCGGGGGGGGCTCCAGCAATGGCGCAGACATCCCTCCCCAACGCAGTGGCTGTACTAGCTCTTAGCTTCCAAGCCACGACAGTTGTCTTCATCATTCCCAATTAACCAGCCATTCAGCAGGAGGCTGAAAAACCTAGCACAAACAAGTCACCTAAAAAAGGGTGGCGCTTTTTTCTTTCTTTCTTTGTCTTTTCTTGGTAGACACAGATTTTTTCTCTGCGATGTCCGGAGCTGCACGTCAGTGGGGCTGAGCTGCACGTTGGGCTTTCCCCACCAGACCTGCATGGCTGCAGATGGTGCCATGAGTTTGAATGGCCATGGGCTGGCAGGTGCCTAATGGCCTCACTCTTCATTTTGTTTGGTTTTCCTTAAAATTTTAACCCAAGCATCTCACATTTGCTAGAGCCAAGCACAGCCCTCGCTGTGCAAGTTGGCCCGGGTTTGCCTTCCAGCCAGTGTCCCTTCAAGGGCTGCCCTGAGAGCCTGGGAGGTCACAGGGGACCCCTCCAGCAGTCCCTGGGCCAGGCTGGGAGGGGGTCAGGCTCCAGGGCAGCTTGGCTGCGTGGCACCGGAGTGGTGGGAATCAGTTAAATTAAACCCTCTTTCCTTCACACACAGGTCGCACTGCGCAGGCGGTCGCGGTCCGAGCCAAGGCGTTCGGCTTCAACGTGATATTTTACGACCCGTACCTGCAGGATGGGATAGAGAGGTCCCTGGGAGTCCAGCGGGTCTACACGCTCCAGGACCTGCTCTATCAGAGCGACTGTGTCTCGTTGCACTGTAACCTTAATGAACATAACCATCACCTTATCAACGATTTCACGATTAAGCAGGTAATTTGCCTTGTGCACACGACTGAGGAGAGTGCTCTGCTCTTCAGTGGGCAAACCCCACGCGTTGGTGCTGTCCGTGGGTCCCTCTGCGGTCATGGCCACAGCGAGCCAGGGCCTTAGTGCCTACAGGCTACCTCTGATGCAGCTGGTTGCACCCAACAGCCCATCTGTCTCCCCCCGGTGTTTACCAGGGGTAGCGCGTTACCAGGTAGGCAAGCCCTATGCCTGTGGTGCGGCGTGATGGCAGAAGTTTTTCACTTTGAGGGTGGTGAGGCACTGGCCCAGGTTGCCCAAAGAGGTTGTTGAGGCCCCATCCCTGGAGGTGTTCAAGGCCAGGCTGGACGTGGCCTTGGGCAACCTGGGCTGGTGGGAGGTGGCCCTGCCCATGGCAGGGGGGTTGGAACTCGATGATCTCCAAGGTCCTTTCCAACCGAAACCATTCTATGATTCTGTGATTCCATGATACCAGCCAGAGCTGGGCTTTCCATAGAAAACCCACTTGCACTGGGATGGGGGTTGCTCTGGAGCTGGACCACAGCTGCTCAGCATGAAAAGCGGGGTGCAGTCACAGCTGGAGGTACCCCAGGGCACCCGCTGCTGCCTCAGGGCAAGAGTAGGACCGGGTCACCGTACCGAGCTCACTCTCATCTCTCTCTCCCCGCCGCCGCCAGATGAGGCAGGGAGCGTTCCTGGTGAACACGGCGCGCGGGGGGCTGGTGGACGAGAAGGCCTTAACGCAAGCCCTGAAGGAGGGACGGATACGAGGGGCTGCGCTTGACGTGCACGAATCTGAACCATTTAGGTAAAGCTCTGGCTTTTTCTTGCATTGCTGTCCTTAGCGGCGTAGCCGGGGGTACACAACACCCACACGCTATGTCACGCAACACCGGCGCCGGGGGTCAGTCCTGCTGGTTTGAGAAAAGGCCTGGCACCTCGCAGCATCTGTTGGGTGTGGGCTAGCACCGGGGTTACAGGCGTTTGAAGGGACACTAGGAGCTTAGAACAAGCAATCAGCCTGCAGGTTTAACGAAGAAGAAAAAGAAAGCGCTCACTAGTCCATGAGATCAGATTTGCTGCGTTGAGCGTTGGGCATTTTTCTGGGCTCCCCAGTTCAAGAGGGACAGGGAACTGCTGGAGAGGGTCCAACAAAGGGCTACAGAGATGACAAGGGGACTGGAGCATCTTTCTGATGAGGAAGGGCTGAGGGACTTGGGGCTGTTCAGTCTGGAGAAGAGAAGACTGAGGGGGGATCTTATCAACGCTTATCAATCCTTAAAGGGAGGGTGCCAGGGGGATGGGAACAGTCTGGGTGGGAACAGTGGTGCCCAGTGACAGGACAAGAAGGAACGAGCACAAACGTGACCATAGGCAGTTCCATCTCCACCTGAGGAGGGCCTTCTCTGCTGTGAGGGTGGCAGAGCAGTGGCAGAGGCTGCCCAGAGAGGTGGGGGAGTCTCCCCCTCTGGAGCCATTCCAAACCCACCTGGATGCCGTCCTGTGCCCCTGCTGGAGGTGCCCCTGCTCTGGCAGGGGTGGGGGTGGACTGGATTACGTCCAGAGGGCCCTCCCAACCCTGACCAGTCTGGGATTCTTGCCCGCAGGCTGCTGCTGCTAGCTGGGAAGGGGTTGGTTATAACTGGGAGTAGGTCCACAGATTGGGGTAGTACTAGTAGGCTGCTTGTGTTTTCAGAAACAATTTAAAAAAAAATAAAAGAAAGTGTACTCTTACAAAGGGGGAAACCCCGTGTCCACCTCATCCCTGCGGGTGACCTGCAGCCTGTCCCCGCGTCCCCACACTGCTGCAGAGACACCCCAGGCTTTTATTCCTGGGGAAGCATTACGAACAACCACGCGGTAGGTTGGCTTTTCAGCCCTGTTGGCTCTTTTTTGGGGCGTTCTCAGTTTGCACCCTGCACTGGAGCCGTGCTGCCTCCCCAGTGGTTCTGTGGCCATTTTGGGCTGGCAGGATGCTCTTGGGCATCTTCCAACCCCAGTGCCACAGGCGAGGGGCTTACATACACAGAGGGCAGGCTACAAGCCTTTTGCCATTCATAATGTATTTTATTTTCTTTTTAAACATTGATTAATCTTTCTGTTTTTCCCTCCCTGCTCTCAGTTTTGCTCAAGGCCCGTTGAAAGACGCTCCTAATTTAATCTGTACTCCGCACACCGCTTGGTACAGCGAGCAGGCGTCGCTAGAGATGAGAGAAGCTGCTGCTACTGAAATACGGCGTGCGATCACAGGTACCCAGCCCCGCGGAGCAGCTGGGGTCAGCGTCTGCCTGGAACGCGACCAGCAGGGGCAGAGACAGGGCTTCACCCTGCCCGTGTCTCAGCAGGAGCTTGGGAAAGGCGTCTAACCCCGATTTTCTTCCCCGCAAAAGAGCTGAGAAACCAAACTTCACTTTTCTATCATTTAGGCATGTTTGTGGTTGGGAGGGTTTTTTTGTGGGTTTTGAGCGGTTTGGGGTTTTTTTTCTTAAACTCAATGGGGCACTCACGTAGCATGGCAAAGACTAGCGTCCATGACTGGGAAGAAAAGAGACTGAAGCAATAATCAGTGTCCCTTTTAATGGTGCTAACCCAAACGATGGTGCAGACCACAGCTGACTGCATGCCAAAACCAAATCCCAGAGCAGTGAAGCCACCTGTGTCCAACTCCTGCTGTAACTGAGCTTGCTCCAAGGTGGTGGTCATGATGCTCCGGCAAATGGGTGGTTCTCTTGGCCTAAAAATTGTCCTCCTGTTAACATGGAAGGCATAGCTTCACGTCTGGGCAGCCCCTGCTCTGAAAGCAGTGGGCTCGAGGGAACAGCTTTCCTGAAAGCAGAGTGTTGGGACTGAGAGTAGGAAGCTGGGCTCCAGCCCCGCACCTTGGACAGCCAAAAACATTCTCCTGCAACAAGGGATAGGGGATTTTTTTTTTTTTCCTCCATTCTTTACACTAAGAAATACAGTGAAATGGAAAGATTGTAGCTTGTTAGAGGGTGATAAAACTAAGGCTTGCCTAACACATACCCACCTTTATTACCAACTCCAGGGCGCATCCCAGAAAGCCTAAGAAACTGCGTGAATAAGGAATTCTTTGTCACAACAGCTCCGTGGTCAGTAATAGATCAGCAAGCAATTCATCCGGAGCTCAATGGTGCCACGTACAGGTAAGCTGGAGAACAGGATCACCGCAGCCCTCCGCGGCAGCGGGTTCCCCACAGAGGTGGGGTTTGGGGTTCCAGCTGTAAGGTGAGCGTGAAAGCCCAGGGAACAGCTTCCTCACGGGCTCAGCCCGTGACTGCAAAGTCCCCTTCCTTGGGGACCAGCAGCCACACCGCTGGGATTACTAATGCTGCTTGATTTAATCAGGGGTTTATAAAGCCTCTCATTTAGAAAGCTTTTGTTCTGGTGCGACAGCAGACGCTTGTGTGGCATCTCTGTAAGTGCCGGGACCCCCAGACCCACAAACAAGCACGACATAACTTCTAAACTGAAGAAGCGATTGCAGATTTGCTCTGCACTTCTGTCCGTGCACTGACTGCTTGGGCTGCTGGTGGGTTGATGAGCCAGGGTGAAAGCTCCAAATACAGGTCCATAGTCAGGTGGCCTGATTTCCACCTAAATCCTTGAGATTAGGGTTACTTATTGCTCCGCTTTGGACAGCTCAAAGCGCATTGATAGGAGACATTAGGTATGAGGACTCAGCTGGAGCGTGAGCCGCCTTCAGCGTATCACCATTGCCAAAAATACTCTGAGATACAAAATAAACCTGTGGGGCACATCAGGTTGTGTTTCAGGGCAGAGGCAGGCAGGAGCGCATCTGGTAGCAGAGCCCTGGAGAGGGCAAGACCCTGAGCACGTGCCATGGCCCTGCACGCTCGCAACTACCTGCACGTCTCAGGCAGCGATTGCTCACTTTGACCAGCAGAACATTTAGACTGAGACATCCAAACCTGGTGAAAGCATCCCCCTTGGTCCTGCTCCTGACTGCTCTGAAGCGCGTGGGCAATGCCATGACGCTGGGGACAAGCCTTGGCTTCCCGGCTTAACCTCTGCCTCTGCAGGACACTTCATCCTTGCTAAGCTCCTCGGGAGCCGCAGCCCCGGTGCCCCCTAAGCTGCCAGCCGGGGTCAGCTCACCACCTTCACGAGCAGGTAGAACCTCCCTTCCCCACCCGGCTTCCCCCTCTGCCGTCCCCAAAGGTGATGGCGACAGCAGGGAGGTGCTTGTGGGCGGGTTCCTCGGTCCCCATGTGTCCAACAGACCTCCAGAGGGTTTTGGCCTCGCTGCCCCCCCGTCACATCTTCCCTGTGGACAGCTCAAGAAATTTTTAATTCCTTCTCCTTCCTCAAACTCAGTGTCATTTCTTGGAATACGTATAACTCGCCCTGCTCTTAGAAAGGAAGACAGACTAGATCCAACCCCATTTTTCAGCTGTGCTCACTGGTTACATGAAGATGCAGCTGACCTTCTGCAGAGGGAAAACTTACATACTGGGTGTAGGTGTTCGAGGGTATCCATGCGCAGGGGTGATGAAGTCAGCATGCGGTTGGCATTTCAGAGAGCATTCAGAGGATTCCTTACCCAATTTTTCACAAGAGAAAGGCTTTCTTATGGTTCAACAACCCGCTAGAAGCTACACAATGAGATGCGGTCCCTGTGTCTTAGTGGAGGACGCTTACCCGAGACCTGTGTCCAACCTGTACACCGCCCCACGGTTGTGCGGGAATGGTTATAGTTGATACAGAATTACCCAGCAAAGGCGAGTCTAGAGCTTCGAGGGAAGAGCTGCAAAAAAAGCCCGACAATAAAAAAGAAGAGGGAAAGCAAGAGAAGAGCCGATAGAAATCGGTGTCATGAAGGCAAAGCAGTGTTACAGGCACGGGGACGACAGCCACCACCCTTCTGTGCTCATCGAATGCTGCACTAGGGTTTAGAGAGAACAAACCACACATGGGTGCAGAAAGGGAGCGGATGGGGTCCCGAGAGCGCCGGTGAGTAACTGCTGTTCAGCGCATCGGCTCAGATACCGCTCCAGGCGTCCAGCAAAGGAGCTGCCAAAAAAAAACCCCAAACTTGCCCCTAGAGAGGATTACGCACTCTGCTCTGTACTTCACCTTTCTCTTGTACGAGCTTCTAGTCTGGTGTGCTTCCTTTCGTCAAGGGCATTTGGTCCTCGTTGAAGGAAATTAATTTGTGCCCATTTATTAAGGGGATACTAGGAGTCCGCCTCTACTTACAGGCGCCAAGCACAGGTTTTTTAGAAAAGCACTCTCAAAGAAGTGACTCCTGTTCAAACAGCTTTTAAACAAAAGCCGAGGCATTAGGTGTTACTGAGGAGAAACTTCAGTTGCAGACATGAAGGTTTTGGTTAATTCAAGTCTTCTAGGAAATACTACCTCCAACGCGGGGGGTTGCGCTCAGTTTTCCCCGGTGCGGGCTCAGGTCAGTATCCGCCGGGGCCTGCGAACGGCCCACGGAACAGAAAAGCAACATTCTCCTGGTGAGAAGGTCTGGGTAGCTGCCTGCAGTTTACTTATACCTGTTGTTTTCTTCTCCTTCAGCCGATTATTTGTCTCCTCGTGCAGTTAAGCACCAGGATATTGTTACTATAGGTCATGGTATCGCATCTCTAGTATATACTTTTAGTATTAAAAGTGTTGAGTTCAGGCAAACAATGCAGTAAAGGTTTAGAACAATCCGACTTCATATAAAATACCCTGGTAATTAATAGCAAATATTGACTCTAGCATTATCGTCCTCATCTCTGTCACTGGAGTGTTCAGGGTTTTTATACGTATGAGAAAGTACCCTGTATGGGTAAAGGCCGTTGCCTCTCCTTCCAACACGTAAACTGCACCGGCTCATCAGGTGGTGCCAGCACTCAAATGCTCTGTTAGTCACAACTTGCTCCGGGGTTAAAATACACACAGAAAAAAAAAAAAAAAGCCAAAAAAACCCCAATTTTGGTTTCAAAGTTGCTTACAAGTCTCTGCTCTGAGCTTGGGCATTCAGCCTACGTCAGTGCTAGTGTCACATAAATCTGAATGTAACGAGTTGCTTCGCGAGGCGACAGCGTCAGCATTTACTGCCACCGCTGTTCGTAACCGCTCCACAAATGGGAAGATGAAGAAGCTGCCAGGCAGGGCAGGAAGGGAGGGAGGAGGGGCCACGCACCTTGACTGACAGACCCACAGCAGCACGGCTTTAGCGCTGAGCTATCCCTAAAAGAAAAACCAAACTCGGAAGTGGAACCTCTTTGCAGCTCGTTCTCTCCAGAACCCCTGCAATGGTGAGCCGCGCTCTGACGTGACAAACCTGCTTCTCTCTGTCCCCTCTCCCAGGTATCCACCTGGCATGGTCAGCGTCGCACCGGGAGGAATACCGGCAGCTATGGAGGGCATCATTCCCGGAGGCATCCCCGTTACTCACAATCTTCCCACAGTGGCACATCCTTCCCAAGCTCCATCTCCTAACCAGCCCACAAAACACGGGGACAACAGGGAACACCCCAACGAGCAATAGCAGATAATTTAAAAATCATTCAATAAACTTGGGACCAAGAGACATTGGAAAAGAAGTTATACATGAACTAAAAGAAAAAGAATTTGATACGAAATTTGTAATGTTGATTTTGGACAGACGCATCATTGATGTTCCAGTGTTAACGACAAAGCGATAGCAGTCAAGACCGGGGAGAAGCCCTGAAGAAGTCACCTGCTTACTGAAGCGCTGAAAACTAAGATGTGCTACATTAATGATCAACTTCTGTTATTGTGTGTTAAGTTTCCTTCATCTGTGCATCAATCACATGAATAAAAATAGCTAATTTTTTTTTTTTCCCCCTCAATTCCTTGGGAAGGACAGGGCTTCTGCACCTGTTTTCAAACCATTGCATTACGCAATCCTTACCGAGTTAACATAGAAACGTAAGAGGAAACCATTATGTGGCTTCAGCCCTTTCCTTACTCTTGTATCTGGTTACCTCTTCTAAGGGGAAGCATCAGTACTGACTTAGAAGAAAAAATAATAATAATAATCCTTTTTGCAGTCTCACAGGGCCAGTGACGTGTAACAGAAGTTCTCCTGCCAGGTTTAAGTTTTAGCCATTCCAGCCGGGAGCCGTGGGATGGGGAGGGCAGACAGGGCTCCTGGCGACGGCCGCTGCCCTCCCCGGCTAACGACAAAAACTGCCGCTCTCTTCTCTGCCCAATACACTGAATAAAGTAGCTGTGCATTCACCTACGCCCTGCAATGATGCAAGAAAAAAAAAAAAAAAGAAAAAAAAGAAAAAGAAAAAAAAAGAAGAAAGTATTACGTTTCACACACTATTTGTACTCAAATATATTTTCTCAGTTTTAAATCTGCAGCTATTTTATCAAGTGGAAAAAGTCTTGAGCTGGAAAGGGTTCAAGAATAATGTTGCATTTCCTTATGTCTCAGGAAACACTTTTTATGGTAACTTGTCAGACTGTCTATGAACAAAACCCACTTTTTTAGACATTGATAAAAGTCTTCTTTTCTTCACGTGATATTTTATACAAGAACACTTCAAAATGTGTTATTAGATGTGACTGATTTTAACAAATCCTATTAGATTTGTATCAACTAGTTACATGTTATATTCATAGTCTTTTGTGAATCATCGCCTTTTTGTTTTTGAAAAGATGGCCTATTTTGAGCCTTTGTATGGGTACATTCCTGTTTCTGTGACAAAAAAAAAAATATCTTAAAGCTGTCCCAAACAGAAAAAAAAAAAAAAGAAACCAATGGCTATCAGAAGTATGTTTTGTTTTAGTGTGTTACCGTTATTGTATTTGTTTATTGTAAAGGTGGACATTTAGCGTTCAGTGCAGTTTTCAATAAAAAGTGATAAAATTTCTATAATTTCTGGAAGGTAAGAGCTCTCGCTGCAGTCTGACCAATGCTTTCAGTTGCAGACCCTGAGAACGCACGGTAAGGTACAGAAACGCATCTCCAAGCACACTGTGCCCTCCTCCAAAACCAAATACGATTGCACGGCGGAGAGCAGGTAAGTTTTTCCTCCAGTCTGACTTTGGTACTTCGGGCACTTGCGCAGCAGCCAGGACCCGCTCCTGTCACCGTCAGCAGAAGGATGACGCTTAGGGAGAGCCGTGAGGTGCAGCGGCCGAGGATCTGCCCTCGGCTTCCTGCAGCCCGCTTTGAGAAACGCAGCAGGATCTCGGTTCGAGCTTGCCGCATGCAGGTCAGTTTTAAACTTTCACTGCTGGGGAAACACTCGCTGAATTTCGTTTCCTATCCAGACTGTCAAGTGGTGCTATCCAGAACCTGCAAACTTCCTTTGAATTTGTGTATACGTAAAAATCAAGTGGGGCATTATATGCAGCCTGGGTGGAAAGAGATCACTCCGGTTTCCATTGCGCTATGAAGGCAGCTACACCTCAAACGACGTTTTTTGCACATAAGAAATGAAGCGTGAACAAACCGCAAAGGAAGAAAGCTGAAAACATGCTCGGGAGGTGGTAGCAGCTTCAAGCCTCGCGAGACAAAAGCCCCGTTCTTTTGTTCCCACCCTGTGTCCTCCATCGCCAGTCTGGAAAGGGACTAAAAAAAGCTGAAACGAAAAAGTGTCTAGGTTACAAAACTCTGTATTTTGTTTGCTTTAAATTAAACTGAAAACTAGTTCCCAGCTGCCAACATGTTACAGAAGAGGTCACCTTTCATCGACAAGTGACCACTCTTTGTCGGTGATCAACACAGCACACCAGTGGTTATCCACAAACACCAGGAGAAACCAGGAGGGTGAAAGAGGTTAGTTACAGAGAAGGGGTTTGGGAAATACCAAAAAGACGGTAAAAAACAAGAGGGAAAAACATTTAATTGATGTTAAGGTTTAGAGATGTTTTAAAAACAAACTAGCTCGGGTACTTTCATCTGTTTTGAAACAAGCAGTTGCCTCCCAGACGGGTGCAAGTACTTCCCTGCGTCGCAGGCTCTGCTGTGCCGGCATCCCTCGTGCACCCACTGCCAGCAGTGGACATGGCACCGGGACAGCCGGGGGCTTAGCGTGGAGCTCACGGAGAACGGCAAACACGGGCTTTTCATCCAACACCCAACCTCCCTCTCAACCAAAACCAAGGACGGATGCAGACACAGGCACAGAGGTTCTGCTGAAGCGCTACGAGCTCAACAAGAGGGGAAATGAAGAGATCCCAAAGGTTACGAACCAAAGGACACGTTTTAGTAACGGACGGCAGCTTTAGGAGTTCCCCTCCACTGTTGGGTCTCAAACACCTGCAGCACAAACACCAGCAAAACACACGAAGAGATCCATGGAAGAGGAAGGGGAAGAGGATCGTTACAATTAAGATATGCCGAAGCACCGGGAAGCGGCACACTGCAACTCAAACGGAAAATTATTGGGCAAAGAAATGGGAGATAACCAGTTGCTGCTGAAGATTTGTGCCATTGCTTCGCTGGCAGAGCCGCACCGCTGCTGTCACACTCAAGGACAGCAGGCAGGGACGCGCTCTGTCGATGACGGATGTCAGAGGAGCTTAAAACAAGCAGCTTGAAAGTGGCAGACACTAACAAAACAAAAAACACCACCAAACCTTAAAAAAAGGGGGTTAAGGGAAGTTACTGAACAAAAGAGGGGGGGAAGGAAAAGCGGCAATTAAATAAAGGTCTCTAAATACACACAAACCGATTTTGTTAATGGAGTAAACACAATCTAGTAGTATTTGCCATAAGCCATGCAGCAGAACTTTGGAAGAATCCAGAATTACTAAATTTTAATATATTAAAACCAAAAGAAATACAGGGATTTTCACTGAGGGATTCATAAATAAAACCAGAAAAAAAACCCGATCAGATGTAAAGGAGGTAGCAATGAAAAGCCAAGTCCTGTGCTAGGAAAGCGTGTGCTACTGCGAGCAATAATATGAGGAAAATAACATTGAGAAACCCCATTTTATATATATATATTCTCGGCTAGAAGAGCAGAACTTGCCGACAAGCTGCAAGGTAGCATTTGCAAATTAATCTCAGTATTTGTAAACTTTCAAGTCTGTCATTCAAGGAGAGTACCCATTAACATACACCGACGACTGTGCTAGCACAAAGCAGGGGTTTGCATCTCTTTAATCTACAGGTACATGAGGTTTGGATTACTTTGATTTTGAAAAAGATACCTCACCAGTTCGGAAACGACCTGTGAAGCGTGTTAACCTGAACATACCATTTTACAGCACATCAGAACAAAACAATAATGACCAAGAAAGCCAAGAGCTCCGAAAGTACCAGGACTGTCCTCTCATACCAGAACTAGATAAATACCGGAGAGCACGGTGCATGCTTTTGGAAAAAAAAAAAAAAAACAGCTGAACTGACTGCACGGTGAACTTCCACTTGCTATGGTGAAGTGCTGGCTGGGGACGGGGATCGTCGGGCCACAGCGCGGGCTGCCCACGTACAGCAAGAGGAGATAAAAGGAAAGGCGCGCTCGTCGAATTTGGCTCAAGGTAGACTTTCACATTGAGTATTCTCCCCATGTTACAAGGAAGCTTTGCTTCCTTAAACGGAACAGTACTGCAGAAATCGGAGGGGGAGGGGGGGATGGGATGTTAAAATTCTGCACAGCGTTTCGCACACCCCTTGAAGGAGCCTGCTGAAGGTAGGAGCTTATCCTTTTGTCCGTCAAATGGTGGTCTGCAGAGGGAAGCCAGTCCCGGGTAAGCCAGGACCTGAATTTAGAGTGATCTGGTGGCCAGAGGAGAACTTCTAATGCTGCCACGCTTAGTCCTGAACTAGAAGGACCTCCAGAAGCGTGCTGGGTTACACCGCGCCGGGTAGCGATGCCCACCGAGCACACGGTGCAGACCAGCTCAGATCACGGAAGTCCTCATCGCAGCTTACTCTGCGTCCAGTTCCCCTGACAGAAAAGCTTTAAGCCCTCAGCTAGACGAGATGTGAAAGGATTTCACAAGGTAAGAAAAAGGACCGAAATATACCAATTTAGAAAGCAAACTTGAAACAGGACCATATGCTTGTGAAGAAACCTCTTTAGTATCTGGGGTTTGCCTGTTTAGTTCAGGTAAATCGTACGTACATTGCAGAGAAGCATGCATTCTTTCACCTGAACATTTGCGCATGCACCAATCAGAGGAGATCTAATGGCCGAAAAAAGGTGAAGACATTTCATAATAAACCTCAATGGAATCTGTGATGGGAAAATTGCTAAGTTAATACAGTACTTCATTATTTCTATACTTCTGGTGTCGTCACCAAGTTTATGTAGGAGTTGTGCACATTTCAACACCATCTAAGCAGCATTTGGAAGAAAAAGCAGCAAGTTCCTCAGGGTTTCCATAGCTCTGAACTACATAAAAATATGTGCTATGGGGCTTCTTTCCAAATTCTAATTAAAACAATTTCAACTACTGCAAAATTCCTTATTCAACCACCACACCATCAAAAGTGCTTTTCAAGACAACCTGAATTGCACTGTATACGTAAAAACTGGCATTAACCTTTAGTGTTTAAGTGAGATTTTTAGATAAACTTTATCCATTACAGGTTACATGGCTAAAGTTATCAAATATAATAAAATTTCTACTGGAGAATATACTCTGAACTTACAATCTTAGGAACTTACATAAGTTTAAGTATGGCCACATCAATCAACATGCAAGAAATTCCCAGGTTTACATACTGAGAAATATATAACACAGTGCTTTTAAAAACAACTTTAGCATAGATTCTTCTTTTTAATTAGAACTGCAAGTGTATTCTCACTAGATTTAATGACCGAGGAATACTCCTTTAAAAAGGTGTTTTTCCATTTGCAGCAATGTTTAAGGTGATGAAAGAATAAATGATAAAATGATATATAGTTTGTATCACAGCAAGACGGAGTTCCGACAATAGGAAATTCTCAATTGCGTCTGAGTTCTCAAATTTCACACAATTTTGTTTAGTGTATGTTCACTGGAATAAAATCCCTCTATTTTAGGTCACTTCTCTGAATAAATATTCTTACATATACTGAAAGGAATCTATTAACTATTAGAAGAAAAAAAAAAAAAAAAGGCAAAAAGAACCCCAAAAACCTTTTTCAGGAAACAAATCAGGTCACTCAAGGAAAAATTTAGCTTCTCTTCCAGTTTGTTCCGTAGAGTTTCAATTTTATTATATGGGCACAGCAGTAACTAAAATATTAGTAAAATAATGAATGTATTTTTCCTTACGACTTGCTGTGGATATTTTGTGCAAACAAAAAAAAACCTCACGATCTGACCTGGGCATGAGTGATATTTCACATAAAAGGGCCTTTCACGGAAGTGTGTCAGAGTATCTAAAAGGTGATGTAGAATACCAAGTTCAACTGTAAAAGAATGTCGGAGGGAAGAGATATCCATCTAACATGTGCTTTCATAAGTGCCCTTATTTGAAAAATTTCTTTGCAATAATTAAGATGCTGGTATACTTTTGCCTATTACACAACCTCTTACACAACCACATGCGGTACATTTATAGACAGATTTACAATCAGAAAGAAAAGTGTTTTTTTTCTGTCTTGATAATAAAATTAGTTGTTTTTTGTTTCTTTTTCTTTGTTTTTATACAAACTGTAGTCCAGCCCGTTTTGCTCTCTTCATGCGGCAGATGAGGTTCTAGACTCTCTCCATGCTGGTTAGAAAAAATCCTTTACAGCACATTTCCCCTAGAACTGGGTCGTTCTACAACGAACTGCTAGAGCACAACGCTAACTCTGGGTCAGACACTCTGCGCTGGTAATTTTCTTTTCAATTTCTTTGTCATCATTCATCGTCATCATCCTCGTCTTCCTCGCCATCGGAAAGGGACGTACAAGGGCGGATCTGTCGGTAGCGATCGAGCCACTTCTCGACCATCTGGGTGACCAGCGGATGATTGCGCCTACGAGAGCTCTTCTGCATCGCAACGAGGACCCCTCCTTCTGTCACGCAGCAGTCCAGCCATTCCCGAAGGAGCTTTTCTTGCTGCTCCTCATTACCTATCTTTGGGGGAGAGAAAACAGGTTGAGAACGAGGCTTGAAACATTACCAGCGACTTTAAGCAAGCCCCCTGTGATATTCCGAAATCGCCAGGCTACGGGAGCAACACAGTTCCTTACCAGATCTGGCAGGGTTAGCACGCTACTTCACCGCAGCTGGGAGCCTCCGAAAGCTAAACTGATGCACACCGCCTTTTCAACCAAAAATCTGAAGGCTCTGGAAATATTCTCCAGCTATTCTTCCGTTCTGAATTTTTCAGATGTCCGTTTCCAGTGCAGACTTACTATATTTCCATTATTTGTGAGCAACTAATTGTTTATGGTAGGCACCACAAATAAGCGGGTAAGTCCTAAAGGAGCCTTCTGGTTTCACAAAAGCAGGTTTTTTGGAGTCTAGCAGTTCTTGACATGAAGCCTTTCCTCTTGTAAGACATAACAAATGTTGCGGCTTGTGGAAAAAATATCCCTCTCTAGACTTAAAGCCCATACTTTTTTCTCCACTATCAAAGGATGCCCACCCTTAGCAATTACTTCAGGTTTTTCAACTCTCCCTTCCCCCACGGACACACTTTACTGAAGTGGTTCCCTGTCTTATTAAAGGAATTGAGTTTCATTAGGAAAAGAGGTAGAGCATGCTGCAGCTACTGGCCTACTTGTGTTACCTTTTTTTTTTAGAAAAAAAAAAAGTGTATTTCAGTCTCGCATTAGTGTCAGAATCCTTATTTCTGGGTCCTTTGCAAGGTACACTTGTATTCACATGCACAGTGAAGTTACGTTCAATTTAGAGAGCTATCAATAAGCATCAATTTGTGGGAAAATACCTTTCAGAATCGCCTCAAGTGATGGGGAAGGCAGCAGTTGTTAATTAAATGGAACAGCACCCTCCCTATAATTCTTTGAACTACAAAAACACACGGGGCTACAGAGAGTGCTGAGGCCACGGCTGTGACAAAGGCCACCAGCTACACAGCTATTTCTTACCTCTTGAGCAGAAAGGAAGTGAATGTGCAATAATTTCCTCTCGCTGTCCACCAACGGTAGAAAAGTAACAGTAACATCATCGTCAGTGTTCAAGTTAGCACCAGCACCTCGATTGCCATAACCATCGTTCTCCATGGCAACCAGAGCAGAGAAATGGCCCCTCGTGTAGCCCAGAGCAATGGGACTTTTCCAACAAAAACTCTGTTCCCATAACAAAGGCAAATACACACCTGCGGCAAATTAAAACAAAGGGTAAGACTCGGAACTACAGAACAGTGAAGAATTTCGATACAAACCTTTTGCTTTTGGCTAAACACAGTATCAGCAGCACGTTAACAAGCATTTAAAACGTACTTGGTTTGTCTACACTAATACAGGTCACACTTTTCAGTACAGCTAATTATTATTAGGTTAACAGGACATTAGTCAAGTATCTCTGCAACTGTACAAGTTTAGACATAAAAGCCATTACGATTACAACCAACACCATGTTACCATTCCCCTAAAATCTGTGGTCTATAGTATAGTGATGAACAAAGAAACAAGGTTAGAGAAGCAGTCTTTCATATTTGATAACTCTTCTTAAAAATAAAAAGAATTATAAAGGAAAAAAAAAAAAATCAGATTCAGCATCACAAATAAAAGCTACAGTCAGATGTCTATTTTTACCAGAACCATCTGCTTACGAAATTTATTATTAAAAGAATTTACTGCACTAAATACTACTCAGCACCTAAGTATGTGGCCCATCCCCGAGACAATGGGACTTCTCATCAACGTTGTATTAATAGATTAAATTAACCCACATCAATTACGCGTATCTAGTCTCCAAAAAACCACCACCAAAAAGCTGATGCTATTTTGCTCAGATACAACAAATGACCGATGCCACGGATGCCGAAAGGAACAGCAGTTTTTCTCCCTGCCATTTTTAGCAATACGGACAGTGACTCGCTTGAAGTGCGTGAAGTTTCAAAACAAGACTGGTACTCCTTTCTTCTAGGAACATAAATAATTCTTGGCGTGTACTGCTGTAAGACAACTTAAGCAAAAGCACGCCTTACCTTGTGACAGCTTAAAAATAGCCACGCATAAACTTAAGTGCGCGTGTAGCATAGCAACCCCTCCTGGTACAGCTGCTGCCAGCCGGGTCAAAAGCAAAACAAGGCCCTTCACTTCTCCGACATCCACGGGGGCGGGAGGGCAACGCTACGGGGGAACCTGAGGCAGCGGGTGGGTTTGGAGGTTTTACTCAAGTTTAGAACTCATCTTTCTTTGCTGCAACAAAAATTAGCGGGAGCTACCGGTAAATATTTGTCCATTCCCCCCCCCCCCCCCATTCTTGAATGAGCAATCAAGACATACCTAAAAGTCTTTCAATTTCTTTCAGATTAAGATTCACAGAAGTTTTTACAACATCTGGGTCTAAGGACAAATCCACTTAATACCTTCTTAGCGCTCCCTTCCTCCCATCTCTGTTACAGTTAAGTCTCACTGTAATTCATTGCTAAACACCAAAGATGCAGAAGAAGGGACAAGCATTAACTGAAAAATTTCAAGCCTTCACATTTAGGGAAAGAACCAAATATTTGGTCAAAATTCAAAGTTACATTGAAAATAACACACTGACACTGAATGTAATGAAGACAGTCCCTTAACTCCTAGAAATTCATTCTTCATACACACTCAAGAGAAGTAACTTCATGAACTTTTTTTTCCCAATATTCAGTCTGAAGCATCAGCAAAACAATAAAGCATTGAGGGCTGGAAACTCATTTATTAATACCGTATACTTCATTTAAAACACAGCGCTACCTCCACACGGGTTGGTTAGGTCACTGAGGCATTTCAGAACTGAAAGCATCAGCACCCAAAGGGTGACTCACCGCTCACCCCTTTTCTTCTGCGCATTACAATCAGAGATTTATCAGAAGGTGCCCCCCGTGCACTCGCGAACGGCTCCAGCCCCTCAGCGACTCCCACGAGCGTGGGGGGCTGACTCGGCTCCCGGACCGATACCCCCAGCAGCCCTCTCCCTCCCCTCCTTGGCCAGAGGGGGGGAAAACACAATGGAAAGCTTGTGGGTCGAGATAAGGACAGGGAGGTCACTCACCAGTCACCATCACGGACAAAACATCCAATTTGGGGAAGTTTAATGTAGTTTATTGCCAATTAATACAGACAGGTAATGCCCTGCTGCCCCAAGCTGGTAGATTCTGGCCCCAAGTTGTTGCCTCAGTGTTGTCGGGGCTACAGAATTTACAGATAAACACAGGGTCTCATCTCTATGAACATCACACGTCTCATCTAACGACACAGAATTCCTGCGTCAGGCAGAGCTGCGTTACCTGTTCAGGAGTGGAACTAATCCGTTTACCTCACCATAATCTCTGCATTGAAATTCAGCAACTTTTGGGGCATTTTTTTTTCCACTTGTTCCCTTTTTTCAATTGTTTTATTTTAGTAAAAATGCCACACCTCCTCAATGTTACCTGATGAGTTGCACAAGAATGGAATTTCAGGTATTACCCCAGAGAAAATCTGGTGCTCTGAAGATTTACAGAAGTCAATCTGATATAAAAATTGAGAAGGTAGTGTGACGATACCGATGACATGCACAGAAGGCACAGGAAGTAAAGAGTACGGGCTAACATCTATCCTGGAAGTCATCCATATCGGATTTAGTTTCTCCAGCCTGATCTGATGATAATTTAAGTCAGTCACCATTTTTCCTGTTTAACTTTAAAAGCTGTATATTCATGCCGCTAAACAGATGCGGCTAGACCAGGAGCACACTTAAGGCAGAGTAAATAGATCTTTCACTATCGAAGCCTTAATATTTCAAGCAGCATTAACAGTCAATTACAATCTAGGAAACAACGAGACTGTCAGTTACGGGATTCACAACAGTTGCAGCAAGTTAACACTGAGTTGGAACAAGGAATCCCCGGAGAAAAAAAATTCTGATCAGGGAGACGATTCTGGGGTTGGACGGGGGGTTTACAGTACCTTCCGATGTGCTACTAGCTGAACCATGATGTTAAAAAATTTTCATTTCTTTTTTGGGGAATGTCATGCTAAAGACAGGCAGGGTGTTACACAGCAAGTCAGAGAAGCCCGAGCGCTCCTCAACGCTTCACCGAAGGAGCACGTGCTACACAAAGCTCACACACCAGCCCAGAACAGCAATTCTTGTACCATCTACAGGAGACTTGTCTCGGCAGCCCATACCAGTCCGAGTCCAACGGCTGTTTGGTTTCAGCTGTGCTGCTAGCATTTAATTAGCACACATTAACCACAAAAATGTGGTTGGACAGGGATGGAATTAACTCCAGGTAATTTGACACAGGACTCCTAAGTTCACCTGTTCAGTGTTGTGTGTTTCTCTGGATGGATGGATGGATGCGACTCGTGGCAAGCAAATCAAATCATAAATATTTGTCTGACTAAATTCCTGGAAATGCGTGTCTAGCTAAAGGTTGTCCCAGACACCCGGTTACCTTCTGGCTCACACAGCAAGAAGACAATTTCAGTATATTTAGGCCACGTAACACTTCTCTGCCTCAATACCCAACATATAAAATAAAAAGTTCGCAAACCACTCAGCCTTTCAGTTTAAAAGCAACACAAACCTGAAGCATCAGATGAGTAACTGTGCTTTCCAGTCTATCCTTTCATCATCTCAAATAAAATATAAAACATAACTACGAAGAGTACCAAATTTTACACTCTCCAAAAAAACATTTCACTTCCTTGACAAGCTTTGCCACTGCACAAAACTTGGAAGTCAAACAGCTTCTCAGATTTTCTGAAGACTCTAACTAGTTATAACAGGCTAGACATTTGACATGAACTCCGCAGCTTGGAGTTCTATTCATTATGTGTTTGCCACCTTCCAAAGTTAGCGTACTTTTTTTTTTTAACATCACAAAAAAAGATGTTTCGGGAAGTCCTCTACTAAGCTATAAATAAATAGTGATGTATTGATGAAAACATCTGTAGGATAGTCACCAAGCTGACATACTTGAGGCCAGGAAGACGAACCATGGGCAAAAGTCACACCCTCACACCCTGTAACGCAGCCACAGTGCCTGATCAGTTCTTTCCACATCATTTTGTTTATTGCTGAGCATGTACAGATGCTCCCAATCCCCTCCTATGTTTTTATTCCTGTAGACAGGCAAATATTAAAGTATTAGCATCCAATATAGAGGAAAGTTGCCCAAACACATCCTTGCCTTGCAAAATACAATACATGCATCATTAGAAATCTACAAAGCTATGTCTAAGCAAAAGTGGACCCAGTCAGCTAAATATCTTCATATTTATCTTAGGGATAACTAGGCTGTTTGCCCAGAAGACTAGGAGGAGAAACAGTCAGAAAGAACTTGATCAAACTATGCAAAATTATAGTACTACTTGAGAAATAGGTCGGTATTTACATCACACACTGTAAAGTGTGAATTACTGAAGCACAGATTTTAAAAACTTCCTTTTAACTACACCACGGAATTCGCTTTCGCAGATAGGGATATTTACACTATTAGTCAACCAATATTTTGTAATTGTAACTAAGTTACCTAATCTTATACTTCACATAACTGTTGGTAGAGCGTTTATGAACAGAATTCCTTCAGCCCCTACGGCATACATTCAAGTTGCCACCTCTTTCATCAACTACAAAAAAAAAAAAAAAAAAAGCTCAACTTTACCATTCTCTACCCTACTTTAATTTCTCGACCCTTCTTTGTACACCCTTCTCTCTTGCTTTAAGGGTGACTCCTTTTCACTGCTCTTGAGGGCTGCTTCAGCGATCGCCTCCTGCGGTGCTGCGCAGCGACACGGCTCGCCCCTTCATCCTCAAAGAGCACCCGCAGACACCGCTGCCACTGGTGAGAAACCATGCCAACGCAAACACCTTCTGCCTGCCTCGCCCCCAACTTTATGAAGGGCGCCGGAGAGCCTCCTTCAGGCAATGCTGAATACAGATTAGTTTCTAAAATGAACATTTACAGCCATTAGTACCACAAACGAACGGAACTGCAAATTCCATTTATGAAACCTCCTGTGTCTTACAGCAGTACAAACCACGCAACTTTTGGGAAGTTCTCACAACCAGAGTATTTTATATAAGTTACAGACTAAAGGCATGCGGAGTAGAGGTCAGAACATGTTTTTATTGCAGGTACATGCAGCATGCCCACCATACAATGAAAGACTTCACATTTTGAGGTGATTTTGTTCTTTAGAATTGCTAACGAAAATTTACCTACAACATAATTCCATCCTCTTCCAGCTAGTAGCTTAACGTAGCTCTCCTTTCAACTTCCTTTATGTTTATGACTTATAGCTGACCCATTTTTAAAATTAAATTTGAAAAACTAAAGGCTTACCTTGAAAGCGGGTATATCCTAATGTTTCTCCTCGGAAACTCTTATAATATTTTACTCCATAAACTATAATTGGTCTTCTAAGAATATGTGCAAGTACAAAAATGTGTGTCTGCTCCAAACTCGCTCCAGGCTGAATCAAACACAAAGACAGACATCACTTGAAACAGAACTTATCATTCCCTACTTTGAAATCTGAAAAAAAAGTCTCCAAATTTAGACCAGAAGTGCTTTTAAGAGTGACCTAGCTTTGACAGGGAAAACGAATGACTGCAAGGCTACTATGTATCAGTTGGAAATAAGCAAAAACATTTCAGCTTGCACAGGAACTTAATCTAACTAATAATTCTTTGTCCTATTGCCCAGATTCAATCTAACATATTTCATTCCCCAGTTAGAAGTGAAACTCTACATAATGTTTCATCTAAAAATAATTAAATAAGAGTACTTTAATGACAGGAAAAGAGCACATCCAAAACAAATCACAAGATTATAATTTAAAAGAGGAGCTAAAGATATTCCTATAGTTAGAAGCTTATAGGAATGTAAGTCGCATTTTGGTGGGGAGCTATAAAATATCAGCTTGCTGAAGTTTAAGTAGCAGATTTGTAGGTACGTTCTAAGAGGGAAGTGTTGCAGGAGCTAGGAGGCAGGACATTAAATAGACAATTGTGTATTAGGTTGTTGGGTTTTGGTGTTGGTTTTTTTTTTTTTCCCTACCGACTTCACTCTGACACCAAAAGAAAATGACTTTTTTTGCACTGTAGTGATTAATAGTAAGCTTAAAAATTAGAATTTTAAAATGAATTTTCCATCCTGGCAGGAAAAGTCTACCCTTACTTACAGTAATACTGTAAGATTACTGGCTTAAGAGGAATGTTTTCCTTTATACATAAAGATTCTTATTCCTGAAGAACACTGAGGTCTTGAAAGTTTTTTTTCAGAAAGATTAAGATGTCCTTTCTAACAGCCATCTATAAAGAAGCTTTCTTACCTGGCTCGCAAGAGAGAGTATGAATGCCCAATCTTCCTGCCACTGTTCCTCTCGCAATGAGAAATGTAAACCAAAGCTTTGGGAATACCACGATTCCCACTCGTTCCAGCGCGTATAGAACCTAAAATATTGCGGGGCAGGTGGGGGTGGGTGGAGAGAGAGAGAAGTAAAGACAAAAGCATTTACTCAACCATCACACATCTGACAGCAATATTCAACCCTTGTAATTCTTTATCCCAACTCCATATAGAAGGGGGAAGAAAGAGAGCATATCAGCAAAACTGGATTTTATTTTAATTTTTTTTTTTTTTTTTAATCTCCAGGAGACTCTATTTGATAATCCTCATTCATGAGATCACTTGGGGTTGCAATGCCTACAGCAACTACACTGTAATAGATGCAAGTTGCTAACAGCCTCCTGGCTAGTTTGATACTTCTTGTAATAGTTTTTTTTTGAAGCCTTATTTACATTTATTTATTTTTAAGTGCCGATGTACAGGGAACAAAACCAAGACATTCCATTTCACATAAGAGGAGTTGCTCATTCTTCTCACACAAACAATACAGGTATTCTCTACTGTTGACCATACCATGAGCCAATTAACTCCAAAGTACTTACGTATCAGCTTCAAGTAGACTGTGGTTAAGAGGCAGAACCTGTTTTGTATCAGGTTTTGGAGCAAAGAGTATGGTAATTTCACATTATATGGAATAGCTATATAGCAGCGTAGATGAGAATCAAATATAGAAAGTTGGGTTAATCCGATTTACACTCAAAGTTCTAATGCCACAGGATTTCTGTTTAAATTAAAAATCATCATTTTTGGACACTAGTTTCATCCTGATGCTTTATCCTTCTTAATCAATTACAAAAAAAAAAATCACCTATGCATTGAAAGAGCAGACACTGGCTTTTTAAAATGTTCAACTCAGTCCAATCACCACACTATGGAAAGGCCACAACTTCACATTAGGCACACGGGTTTAGTGAAGAGTCCTAAGCCAACTTTTAAACAATGGCCTTTACTGTGAATACAAAGAAACCATTCTCAAGTTCAGCTTATTAAAAAAAGTCACTGGAATGAACTCATTTAATTACAATCTGAGAAAATTAACAGACAGACAGTGTGTGTGTGTGTGTGTGTGTGTGTGGGGAACCTTTCCTTATACTTTCAGTAGAGATATCATCTCCTAAAATATTGGTGTGTATCACAGCTGCCACCAACCAGGCTGGTTTTCCCAATTACAGCTAAAATCTCTGCATGGATTACAAGACCTATTAGTAAGACATTTTGATAGGTCTATGAGCTGACTCACAGTAATATCTCTACAGGGAATGATCTGGATCTCTCTGCGTTCCAGTTTCTATCCAAATACATTAACTAATTCCATCTTTGCAGCAGATGGATATTTTGCCCGTTTTCCCCCAGAAATCTCTAACCAAACACCTTGTACTAAATGCATTAATTGCTAGGTCTTCTGGAAAAAGTTCAATCAGAATCTGCTTAACAGAAAAAAAAAAAAAAAGGAGAAAGAAAACAAACTACCCGCAAAACCTCTACTGAGAAAGTGTTTTCCTAAAGAAGTTTCTTCTCTGAATTAGTCAGCCACAGACAATCTGTAGGTGTTCACAGGAGGCTCTTTCGATAACCTTACAGACAGAAGTCGAAGGTTCAGACTTTGATCTTATTTAAAACAAACTTTTCAGTTTAACACAAGAGGACTGAATGCATCGATAAAAAAAAAAAAAATCCGAAAGCCAATTTACAGCATATGCCCATTCTCCACCAAAAGCTAATGGTGGAATACAAAAAGGGACAAATCAGAACACACTTCTGAGTAAACTAAAAAAGCGTAGTCATTTAAAGGGTGAGTGGAAAAGACTCCACAGGCCAGAACCTCTGGGAACTTCACTACTGAGCTTTTTCTGAGTACCAGACACTAGACTGCCTCTAGTAAATACATTCTTCTTTGTTCAGCATCTAAACAAACCTAACAAAACGAGGCCAAATGAGTTACATGAATGTTCTGCGTCTGACTGTAAAAATACCCAGTTTTAAGTGTCTTTGTGAAGGCTTTGAAGCTAGCTGTTCCACTAGCTAAAAGTTTAAGCGTACTGTTGTTAATACTAGTAGTGATTGCGTTTAACAGCCTGTTCTTTCAGCAACTATCATTACAGCCAGTGAGGACACCATCACTTCCTATCTGCTGTGTCCTAGCCCACAAAATTAAAAGTAAATGTATCTTCCCACATAGAAGCTAACAGCAAGTATAGGATGTACAGGATGATCGATTTACCACAGAACTAAACTAAAAGAGACTTTTCACACCCCCAGTCTGGAATTTTTGAAAGGAATTGTGACTCAAGTCTGATCTAGTATCACCACTAACATGTCAGTAGTTTCTTCAAAAATTTCCATCACTAACAGCCTCTGCAGGCAGACCAGTTCTTATTTAGGATGTAGCTCTGTAGAGGCTGGCGCTAGAACCTGTACTAATTTTTCCAATGACGAACTAGCAATTAAGATTATCCAGGCTGAAGGTAGGCAACTGTACTCAAGCAACAATAAAGGAACATATGAATCAGTTAAAAAATAAATGTTCTTCCAGTAACGACGAAGATTAAGTGAATTCAGAGTAAAATGCAAATTCTGTCTAAAACATGAGCTAAAAAGCTTAACCAGATTTAATACACTAAATAATGAGTGTTATGTTAGATACAGCAGTAAGTCAACACCAGTTAACACTAACATTTTGAAAGACTGGTTTAAACCTCAATAGTTTGCAGCATGTTTTTGGATACCATGCTTGGTTTTGTTACCATAAAGAACCAAACCTGATCCATCATAAATTTCTGTTCTGGCCTCAGGGAACTGCTCGTGATGCCAGGGACATTCCTGCGTGGTCAAGATGCACGCTCCACTATAAACAACTCCAAAGTAGTGACAGATCTAATCTGAGACAGGTTCTCGGAAGAATTGTTACTGAAGCACCACTGTATTGAATCCAGCTCTGGGTACTAATTTTGGGTGTTTTCTCCAAACAGCTCACAGTTGGGTACAGCGATCACAACAGCTACTTATAGGTACCCCTAAAACTAACCTTTGTTGTTGACTTCCCACACAGCACGCACAGCAAGGGGACACGCTCTTTCTCTAGTATGCCTGCTGAGTGTTTCTCTTCTTCTTGACTATAAGAACCTAAGAAAACTAATCGCCTGCATCTTACATTATTAGTCTTTATCAATATCTTCCCTTAGTCCCATTACGCACTGGAGAGCCGTTGGACACCGCTGGGGTGCAACTGTAAGAATTTTTCCTCTAGCAGAGGCAAATCACAGTATCGGACTAAAGAAGGTTGCGAGTGTAAAACAACAGAAGTTGTTTTACAGAATGATGAATTAATTCTATTGCCAAATGACAGCACTAGTTAAATGTCACCACTCTGCTTTACTGCCATTATTTTAGCAGGCAGGACAGGAATAGAAAGAGCAACACCGAACAGAGCTGTAACCAAGCAGATGGAATGAAAATACTGAAAAGTTTATACAGGAATAAAAGGCTATCTTCTATTAACAATCTTCTGCAAAGCTTCCACCAACAGCAGCAAGGCATGGCACGCGCATGATTTACATTGCAAGTAAATTCCAGTTTTAACCGTGGTTAGCGTGCTCTTGACAAGCGCACACAGCATAAAATGTTTTAGTCTGTTTTAAATGCTATTTGTTGAATATCACATACCGTCACTGGGTTCAGAATGTCCAAGTTTCCAGTGCTGACATTTCAAATACACTAGATCTAGATTTCTACATGAATCACACCGTGACTCAACATTCCGAGACACACAATCCACAGTAAATCGGGGAGCGGTGATTGTGTTTCTTTTTAAATTACTATCAACTACTATGCTACATGGAAAGCTACCTTTAAAGTTAACATAAAAACTAAGTTACCAATGTGAGCAGTCATGTAAACTGTCGTGAAGAGCTTTCCGCAGCACTGAATCCTTGTCGTAAATGCCCCAAGTGGCTTGTAGTACTGAATCAAGCAGGCAATCCCCGGCAGTCCGATTCCAAAGTGCGTATAACCTGCTGTCCAAGCGCGTACCCAGTTCCAGTGACCAGTTAATAATGGGAGATTCCTCTTCTAGCTCTGCAACATGACAATAACCTCTTTTAAAAACTTATATCCATTTGAAGTCTCGGAGAATCTGAACAGCACGTTAATGGCATCATCTCAACAATTTACCCATTTACACGAATAAAAAAGTTTTCCTTCATACTACAAAAATAAGTGAACTACAAAAGCTAAAGGCATTCCTTGGGCAAAATACTGTCAAGAAAAGAAGAAAAAAGACAAAGCCAAACCAAAACAAACCATAGCCTTAAACAAAGCAGCCCATCATTTGTTTGAGGATTGTTACTGAAGTGGAAAGATTATTCCGTTTTCTTTAAAGAGCTTGCGAGTTAAAACTGTAAAGCTTCAAAAATCTTTAAAATTCAAAGAAATATTACAAACATGATTTCTACACTCCATTCTCTCTCTGCCTCATAAACAGACTGTAAAATAATTCCAGGGTTATTAACTTGAAAGCATCAAATCTATATTTAAAACAAATTCGGGCAACAAAGCCACAGAAACACTTTTTTTTTTAGTAACAAATATTATCTAATGAAAAGCAAGGAGAGATTCCAGCCATTCCCAGAGCTTTTACCTTTCTGAACATCTCTATCAAGTACTTCATCAAATAGCTTTTCTTGGACTGTGGGTGGTAAGTCTTCAATATCTGGAAAAAATAGGAAGCAAATACAAAAGTCCTTTAACGCTACTGTAAAAGACACACATTACTAGCTGATGCTCAGGAGAACTTACAGAACAGATTTTGCCCTATCATCCCTAACGTCTCCTCTGAAAAGCTATTATTTTCAGATCTGTCACTTGTGACCACAGGCTTCACAGAGCACGCTGAAGTAGATACGTATCTCACACCGACTGTCACACCTTTCATGCAGAAGGGATCATCACAGCATGCGTAGGGTAAGAATGGATTTTTCTGAAGGAGAAACTGAAGCAGAGAACTACTTTGAGGT